ATATATATATATATATATACATATGCTCGCGCTTTATAACGAATATAACACGTACAGAGTGGCGTTGGTTATAATTGTTAGGTGGCTCGTGTGTATCGCTATACCTATTTAATCCCGTTTCGAGCAAAGTATCTCGTTGTTATCAAATTAATTCCTATCGATTTATGCTATAATTATTATGTAAATTACATTAACGCGTTTTCAATAAATCCTAGATAGATTTAACATTGTCGTCGTACGTGTATCTCGTGTTTCATGGCGTGACAGAAAAATCGGTCGAGGATATATTTGGATAATATTTTCGCGGTGTAATTATCATATAAATCGAGCCGATAAATTCCAGGTATCCGGGGAACGATCAGTCCGTGTAATATCTCACCTATATTCAATGCGAATAAATTTTTTATCTCGTCGTTTTAATTGAAAAAGAAAAAAAACAGAAGACAATTGAAAGAATCGAGAAGAAATTTAGAATGAAATACTTGGAAAAAATACTTCGGCGAAGGATAAATAACGCGTGGATTATTTTCTCTAACTCGTGTTAAATAATCGAGAAGGAGGAAGAACGTACCTTCGCTTCCCCTTTGTCGCTTAAACGCGTAAGATCTCCCCTCAAAAAAAGGAATAGATAACGGTCCTTTGCACGAGGCAGATCGAAGTTACGCGCACTTTTTCGCGTCGTTCACCGCAATGACGGTAACACGTTGCAGTACTCTCAATGGCAAGTTTTCGGTTCCACTCGTGTGTCACGTATATCACCAGTTTCCTCGTCGTGCATAGAGACGACGTGCGAGCGTGTCACACGGGACAGAGAGAGAAAAAAAAAGAAAAAAAAAAAAAAAACAAAAACTAGAAAATTCTCACCCTCGGTCCACTCTCTCGACGCACTTCGATTCCTCCCGATCACTTCGATCCTCTCTATCGACACCGATCCCTATCGCACCTCGTTCACCAAGTTCACCAAAAGAGAACGAATTCCCTTAGTTCTCGATCCACGTCCCACTCCAAAGTCCTCGATCTATCCACCACCGTTCTCATCTTGACATAATACCCGTCCTGATATAAACTTTCGACGACTTTCACGGGGATCACTTTCTGTACGTAACTCTCGCAAAGCGTGAATATCCAAGGGAGCGTGTATACAACCCTTGACTACAATCCTCCCTATTACGTAAACGAAGACTTTTCCATTAATAATGTTCGTGCACTGTGAGGCGAAACTTTGGAAAACGCGGTAAAAAGGGAAAAGAAAGCGCGGAAGATGAATCCCGCCGCGGTGTATCGCGTAGAGAGGAATGCACATACACACACGCACATACACACACGCGCGCACTCACTATATATATATATCTCTCTCTCTCGACGCGTCGATGTATGCGCGTGGAAAGCGAGGAATACACGAGGAAAGGGGGTAGAGAGAGAGAGAGAGAGGACGAAGAGAGAGCGTACGTACGTACGTACGTACGTACGGAGCGTAATACGCGGCAAAACTGGTCGAGCGATCGCGATGCGCAAGCGACGCGTCGCGTCGTGTTGTTGGCAAGCGACTAACCCCCTGGCGGCCGCCTGCACCCCCGGACGCCGCGCATGCCCCCTACCTTAAACAACTCGTCCACCCCTGTTCTCAGTGCCGCCCCAAAACCACCGGTGACTTCATCTTTTTTGACAAGAAGCCTGTAAACCTCCCCCCCTTCCTCCGACTTCCCATCTTCTCTTCTTCTTCTTCTTCTCTCTCTTTCTCTCTTTTTCCCCTCCTTTTTAATTCAACGTTATTCCGATAAAATTACGATCCTACATGTTGATATCGGTATTTATTCCCTTTCGTTCGTTCTTTTTTTGTTGTTTTTTTTTTTTTTGTTTGTTTCTCTTCTTCTTCTTTAATTCTACGTACGTGTCGTTATTTGGATAGGATTATGATTCTGTATCTTGTCTTTTTCTCTCGTTGTTATTGATATTTATTTATTTTCTCCTTTTTTCTTCTTCTTTGTTTCTCTTTCTATTTCGCCCGGATTTTTATCTTCTTTTCTCTCTTTTTTTCCCCTCCCTCCACGTAATTTCGATAAAATTACGATTCTAGATGTTGATATCGATATTTATTCCCTTTCGTTCGTTCTTTTTTTGTTGTCTTTTTTTTTTGTTTCTCTTCTCCTTCTTTAATTCTACGTAGGTATGTCGTTATTTGGATAAGATTATGATTCTGATGTATCCTCTTTTTCTCTCTCTCGTTGTTATCGATATTTATTTCTAGCCCTCTTCCTTTTCTCTTCTTCTTTGTTTCTCTTTCTATTTCATCCGGATTTTTATCTTCTTTTCTTTCTTTTTTTTCCCCTCCCTCCGCGTAATTTCGATAAAATTACGATTCTAAATATCGTTGTTATCGATATTTATTTCTAGCCCTCCTTCTTTTCTCTTCTTCTTTGTTTCTCTTTCTATTTCGCCCGAATCTTTATCTTCTTTTCTCCCTTCTCCTCTCCCCTCCATGTTATTTCGATAAAATTACGATTCTAGATATTGATATAGATATTTACGTCTTTCTTCTATTCTTTCCTTTTTTCTTCCTTATCTCGTTCTTTTTCTTTTCTTCTTCGCCTCGGAGCTTTATCTTTCCCTTTTCTCTATTTCAATTCAACGCGTCATCTCGATAAAATCACGACTCTAGATCTTGATTCAGATCTTCCTATTTACTTCCAATCCTCCTTCCCTTCCCTTTCTTCTTTTTCTTTTTTAATTTAATAATTTTCTTTTACTTTTTTCTCTCTCTCCCTCTCTCTTTCTCCCTCATTAAAATTAATTTAATCGAAGCATTTCAACTCTTTAGATGAATCGTAATCCAAAACGAAATATCACTCGTCCACTCTAAAAAAATATTATATTTTTTCCCCCCTATTATTAAAGAAGAGTAATAGTCTCAAATCTAAACAAAATGTCAAAGAAATAGTCGATTCGGTAATCTTATGATCTCTTTGACGTTGAAAGCCGTAGTTCGAGACGACAGAAATGGGCAGCAATCGTGGACGAGGACGTGGAGCGTTACACGATTTCTTCAACAGGTACAAATGACGACGACGTTATCCAGGAACATATTGCACTTTTTCATTCCTCTGTACAGCACACACACACATACACACACACACACACACACATACACATCCGCGTTACAAATTATTCTTTCACTTCTTTTTCAACCGCGACGTTTTCAAATATCCGGGACAAACGTTGCTGCTCGCTTGTAACAAACCATGCATAAGCGTTTACACGAACGATGGGGTGGGGGAGAAGAGGGAGGAGAGGAAGGGAGGAAAAAAGGAAACGTTACAAATAGATTTCTTGCGCGAATCGAGCGAATCCTTTCAATTCGCGTTTCCGTGTTTCCTGGTGCGACAAATGCGGAGGAGGGTCGGTCGCGTTGTAAATTACGCGCTAACGTAATCTCGAAAGAAAAGAGTTTTGCGAGGGACAATGGTTTTATCGTGTAAATCGTCACGAGAAAAAAACGTTTCTCCGCAGTTTGATAGAGAAGGAACGGCTCATGGAGTTTTCTGATGTTCTCGTGACGACGAAGTTGCAAAATAATGACGAACAATATGAGCAACGTTCACTCGTCCCTATGAGATATGGATTAATTACGTATAAATATGGATAATTGGAAAATTTACGATGATGATAAATAATTCATTAACTCCGTTATGAACATCGTGAACACCTGCTGCGCGAAATATGGTGATCTGGACGATTAGGAAAACCATGATTAACTCTTTAGGATTAATCGAACGTTCGTATTATTTGGAAAATTTTGAAAAAAGAAAAAAAGAAAGAAAAATTTTTGTTTCACTGGGAAAACTCGAATCGTCATGCAAATACGGATGAAAAATAAATAATTCGAATAAAAAATTAATTAAATCGGTCGTTGGGTTACGAAACGAGAAATAAATAAATTTAATTTTAAAACGTAAAAATTATTATCGTATGGAATATGTAAATCGATTAAAGTTGAAAAAAATTCTTCGTTCGATATTCCGATGATAGGTTCAGGTTTTTTTCTTTTCGCCTTCAATCGTTTTGGAATGGAACGGGTTGTAAGATTGTTTGAAAATACGGATTTTTATAAAAAAAAAAAAAAAGGAGAGAGAAAACAAAAAGTATACGTTCGATGAAACAATTTATCGAAACGGATGCAATGCAAACAAATGAAATTTATAGAGCTATGGCTCTAATTGTCCCATCAATTCATAGCCCTCAAAGGAACGAGAGAAAGAACACTAAATGAAAACAGTTTGTGTTTTAGATTTCGATGAAATGACATTAACAACGCGCTATCAAAGTTCGATGAAAAGATTTTCCCTTTTTTTGTCCCCTCCTTTTTTTTCTAGCTTTTTTTTTTCATCTCGTAATAGTAAACCGTGTACATTTCGGATAACAATTTTAAAGTGGTGTTCGCGCGCGTGGAATAGTATTTACTGGAATATTCTGGTCAACCTCGTTCGCTGTTTGGGAAAAGCTTCGACCGCAGTTAAAAAGATAAGCGAATAAATTCGTATACACGTTCTATATATATATATATATATATATATATATATGTATGTATGTATAGACACACACATATTTGCCTTTGTTCCAAACTAAATAAACCGGATAATTTCGTAGAAAATATTGCATCGAAGAGAAATATTGCACGGTATCAGGAATTTATCGAGGTGTTTAAAAATGTGCGTATCCGATTTTTGAAATTTTTTCAAAATAATTTTTACATTTTTACGAGCGTTGGATTTCATTTGGAATTTTTTTTCTTCACCTCGCTAGAGTTTCCGGCTCTCCTCGTAAAGTTAAGGTCGCGTGTAAAAATTCTGTATTCCTCCTTTATTCCGTCTCGTGTTTCCCCGTAACGTAATTCTCGAATACGTATTAAAATAGTAAAGAATTCGAGAATTTCCTTTCCGTTCCATTCCAGTATCACGATTAAAAGGAATTAGAAAAGTAATTAAGCCAAAGGGGAAAAAAAGAAAAAGGATAAAATTGGAAAGTTGGTTTTTTGAAAAAAGAGGGGTGAAAAAATATAATAAATCGCTTTGGATAAATAAACTCACTTTCCAATGTTTTCGCTTTTATCGATGAGAAAATAAGGAAGTTTTTCAATTTTATTAAGAAAAAATTAGGAAAAAATATGAAAAACTTTTATCCTATCCTCGACGAGTTACCAATTCCTGTAAATACGTCGAACAAAGAGCAAAACCTAAACTCGAGAGAAAGATTAAAACGGAAAGTATTAATTCAAGAATCTCGAAAATCAGTTTATTAAAGTCGCATTCCATTGAATCGAAGGGTGGCGAATAATCGAACGGACAAAGGGGAAGCGGAGAGAGGAGTACTTATTCAGGGACATCTTTTTCTTCGTTCTTTGCGAAGAAGAACCTATTGATTTACCTCGCACCAGGTGCCCGT